TCCATCCATCCATCCATCCATCCGATCTATGAATCTTCTTTATGGCTTAATCGGTCTTGCTTGGTTTCCCAGGACCAATGGACCGCTTCCGAAGTCCGTCGAGGTCCAAGGTCACCGCCTACTCGTGAAAAAAGTGGATTACAGTGTGAATACCACCTTCATCTGCCAAGCCACCAATCGCGTGGGGCAGGTTTCGACCCAGCAAATCATCCTCGTCCGAGGTAAGAGCTGTGGGCTTTTGCAACCTTTTCAATGTGTATGTGTGTGTGTGTGCGGGGGGGGGGGCTAATGGAGTGTGGCATGAAGATGAATTAAGATTTTGGTGCCGCTTAGCTGCTGGGGAGGGGGGCCGGCATGTTAAGTCGATCCAGCTTGGAGCCCGTCCAGAGTCTCATAATGTGTGCGGTAGAATAATCGGTGTCTTTTTTTTTTTTTTAACCTAATCTGGGGAACCGAATATATTTGAATTCTTCCTCTTCTATCACAAATTCAGTGTGCGGTGCTTTGCGCAGCAGGATGCCGGGAAGCATTGTGAGGTTTAACTAGCTCAAGGCACGGCGATAAAAAGCCTTGGGCTCAGATAGGCCAGGAGCCAGAGGCATTGTGGGTGCAGAGAGGCTTGGGGGGGGGGCAGAAGGATAGCTGGGGCACCACACACGTGGGGCGAACGGTACTTTTCTGGACCCTCCGATACCTTAGTTTCTCTGTGGACGTTCCGGGGCCTCTTGGCCCCCTGCGAGAGATGGTGACGCTGATGATGGATGGTGGGGTCCCGAGGACCACCCGGTCTCCTCTTTCCCGGACCCAGTTGAGGCTCTGCCCCTTCCCCAGTGCTGGTATTACTAACCACTCGCATTTCTCGGAGTGACTTCCTCGTCTTCCTTTCTTTACTCAGACCAGCCGGTGAAGAGTCAGAGCCGCAACGTTGGAGCCCTGGCCGGGGGTATCGTGGGGGGGATCCTGGCCCTGGCAATTCTGGGGATCATAGTCTTCTTCATCCTCCACCGCCGGCACCCCCGAACTTCCAAAGGCTCCTTTGACCCCAAGACTCGACCCTTTGGCAACGGGACCGCTCAGCCACCAAACCATGACTTCACCGAACTCGACCGGCCGCTGAAACCCGCCACAGGAAGAAAGCCAGAGGACGAGGACGAGGAGGACGAGGAAGATTACAGAGAGGAGGAGCGCGAAGAACGGCGGCACCCTCCCTACGGCTACGCCCCGCGGCACCGGGAGGACGAGGAGGAACGATTCGACCAGCTGGGCCCCATTCTGCGGTTCAGCCCTGACCCGCACGGCTACGAGTACGACGACATGGAATCCCAGCACGATGGTTCCATCATCTCCAAAACGGCCGTCTACGTGTGAGCTTAGTCTGGACAGCCGTTCTGGGACCGCGGGAGAACCGGTGCTCCCTCTCAAAGACCCTCGAACGCTCTCTGAAGGATTTTTAATGTTTTCTTTAACTTACGGACTCTGCCGACAGAAGCCCCTGCTTAAGGAAGGCGAGGCAGCTGTCAGGGCAGGTTGGCCTCGGAGGAAAAACAAACGGGGTGTCCCTGGGAAACAGAGAAACTAAGGAGAAAAACAATCGAAACAATCTCCCCTTCTGGAGATCTTTTCAGTACCGCTGCCTTAGAAGGATTTGTAAATCTTGGCTTTATTTTTAATGTGGGAGGAGATGCGAACTGGGTGGTAATACCTGGGGTCCGAGCAGTGCAGGAAAGAATTAAGTTGATCCAGCCTTCCCTGTGAAACGGGACTCCCGGTGAGGGACGGAGACTTAGGTGCGCTCTCCGAAAGGACTCCGCTGAGATTGGTGCTCTCTCGGCTGCTTTCAAAGGCCGGGCTTCCCTCGGCCACCCCTCGTTCCGGGAAACTAGGACTTGAAATGTCCCGTTGTTGTGTCTTGTAGCATCCTCGGAGGGGTTGGGAGAAATGAAGGGGCCCGGTGCTCAGCCCCGAGGTCTCTTAAAAACTTTTTTGGTTAAGGAATTATCCGGGAATTGCCTGAGATTGTCTGTCTTGTGGATTCCGTGGTTTGGCTGTGTACCACGTCCTCCTTCCGTCTCCAGATCCTTCTTGCCTGGGAGACTGTAAAGGAAGGCTCTCCAGATTGGGGACCGAGCCATTTCATGGCCTTCCACGTTCACACACTACCTTTGTGCTCTACTTTACGTGTCCTGTGTCAGTTGTCTGTAAATAACCTTGCTTTAAAAAAAACAACACCACAAATGAAACACCCAACAGTCAAGGCGCAGAGCTATTTTCATACTCGGTTTGACTGCGCCTTCCCCCGTCCTCCCCCCTTCAACGTCAGTACTGCCTTCGCTTGTGTGTAATTAAATGCTGTCTCAAAACCTACCTCTTCTCTCTCGCTCTCTCTCGCTCTGTCTTTGATTTGGCCAGCAAAACCTGGATGGCTGCCCGCCATGGTGTAAATACATATCTGCATTGCTGGAGGTGAAATTGAAATGGTTCTTAATAGAGTGACAACGAGCCTCTTGTCTCAACCATATTATGCTTGGCGGATGCACTTGGATTCAGGAAAGCCTTAACGTGGTGGCGCAAAACCTTTTGCAAACCAAATTGCCCTGGGAGGTCAGATTGAGAAAACGGCGTTGTCTATATAAGACCGGGGTGGGGAACTAGGGCCCTTTTATGACTTGTGGACTTCAACTCCCAGAATTCCACGCTGGCTTGGGAATTCTGGGAGTTGAAGTCCACAAGTTACAAAGTGGGGGGGGAGGCATAGTTCCCACCTCTGGTGTAAGAGAAGCTTGATATTTTGATGACAGGAAAACCTCTAATGTCTGTCCAAGTTTAGATGCATCTTATAGGCACTTACAACTTCTTGACTTACAACTATTCATTTAGTGTCCCAGGTTACAGCAGCACTAAAAAAAACGTGACTTACGACCCTTTTTCACACTTAACAACCGTTGCAGCACCCCTGTGGTCACGTGATCAAAATTCATACACTTGGCAACTGACTCGTATTTATGACGGTTGCAGTGTCCCGGCGTCATTGCGATCCCCTTTTGTGATCTTCTGACAAGCAAAGCCAGATTTACTTAACCGTTCTACTAACCGTTGTAACTTCAAACAGTCACTAAACAAACTGTTATAAGGACTATCTGGAGGTGGAGATTCAAAAGCTTTTTTTGTTTGTTTGTTTGGGCAACGTGCCTTTGAGCAGACACTTGAGGCTATAGTCCCGAAGGCCGATAGGGGAGAAAACCCAACTTTGATTTAACGGGCATTTAAATTTCACTCCACAACGTGACTGCTACTGCTGACACTTGGTAGTCTCGTTACTTAAGCATCTGGCCTGCTTACACTCCCAAATGGTTTTGGAGGCATCTCCTTGAACCTCTCGGAGCTTGCCAGCAGATTTTGCCATTCTTAATGTGATACGAATAGACATTTTCTGCATGTATTTAATAATGTCCTCCAGGCATCTGGGAGTCGTGGCGTTCCAGTTGATGCAGCCTTAATCTGACATTAAGATCCCAGAATGCTGTTTCTCTCCGCAGGAAAGTAAGTCCAGCAGTTCCCCCCCCTTCCCACCTCCCCAAAATGCAAGACAAGAATATTTTCAGATTAATATGTAGGCGTTGTATGTATGTATGTATGTATGTAT